AGGGAGGGGAAGAGAGGCAGAGAGGCAGCAGAGGGAGAGGCAGAGAGGCAGAGAGGCAGAGGCAGCAGAGAGAGAGGCAGAGAGAGAGGCAGAGAAGAGAGGCAGAGAGGAGGCAGAGAGAGAGGAGGCAGCAGAGAGGCAGAGAGGCAGAGAGAGAGGCAGAGGCAGAGGCAGAGGCACCCCCCCAAACAAACAAAAAACAAAACAAAAACCAAAATATCATTTAGTCTTTTTTAAAAAAGTTAAACAATTTTTTTATATAAAATTGAAGTTGTTTCCCTCTACTGATAACTTACTGAGGATTTTTATCATGAATGTTGAATTTACTTTGCAACAACTAACATGGTTCTATTATTTTTATTCCTTAGCTTGATTTTATGACAAGTTACACTGATAGATTTTTGCAAGTTGAAACACTGTTTCACTGCTGGGATAAATCTCTCTCAGATATGGCATATAGTTTTTATACATTAATTAATTTGAGTTTCTATTAATCTTGTGGAATTTTTTTGGAATACATCTACTAAATTCATGAGTAACATTAGTTTGCACTCTGCTCTAATTTCACTTTTCTTTATCTGTACTGGTTTCACAGATTGAACTATAAAATGATCCACATATTTTTTTCTTTTTTTTTTTCTTTCAGTTTTTCAAGACAGGTTTCTCTGTGTAGCTTTGGAGCCTGTCTTGGCACTTGCTCTGGAGACCAGGCTGGCCTCAAACTCAGAGATCTGCCTGCCTCTCTGCCTCCCGAGTGCTGGGATTAAAGGCATGCGCCTGGCTGATCCACTTATTTCTATTTTGTATAAACTGATGTCAGTTCTCCTTTATAGACCTGGTTAAATTCTCAGCAAAAACTATTTAGGCATGGAGGTTTCTTTTTCAGGAGTTTTCAAGTTACAAGTATAGTTGTTTAATAGTTACAGGAATAATCAGGAACCAATTTCATTTTGGTTAGTTTCTAGTAGTTTGTGGCAGTTAAGACACTGTCTTCTTGAGAGTGAAGTTGCTTCTTGAGTGTCCTTGGACTCTGAGGAAGGAGCTGTGGGGGACAGAAGAACATAGTACATGGGCAGAGTGGCTTTCCAAAGCTCTAGTCTCTTAGGTAGAGGACATCCACTGAGACAGAGGCAAGCAGGCATCTGTGGGATGTGAGAAGTCTTTGGAGAGGGTAATGATGGTGTCAAGAACACACAGATTCAAATGGACTCCCACTGCATGGGTTTCTCTAGTGCTTAGGCTATGAGATTTGAGAAGTGGCTGTGAGTATCACTCAGAGCTTAAAACAGCAACCAGAGCAGAGGGCAAAGGCATCTTCATCCTAGAGAGGACAGCCACTAGGGCTGAGCAGAGGTGAGAGGGTCTAAGTGATTCTTCACTTATATCCTGTGGACCCTGATTAAGTGCAAAGAGGAGCTAGGTCTTGAAGCTCAGTGTGGTACAGAAAAGAGACAAATCACATCGCCATATGACAGATACAGGACAGGGAGGTGTTGGACAGCTAAGCATGAGAGCAGGCCAGTGAGGACAGAATGTGCATCTGATAGCATTAAGACTCAGGAAGGTAGCATCTGGGAGATGGCTTTGACAAGGTTAGAGGACACTTATATTAAAGGACAGCATTGCAGAGGGCTAGGGCAAAGCTAAGGAGGAGGGCAGAAGATGGGGACAGAAAGAAATTCCTTGGAAGATGGCAGGTGGTAAGACTTTGAGCTAATGCTTATAAGCTGGACTTGGCTCCTCTACAATGTAAAATCCCTCACTTGCAACCAGAACCCCTTTTACTATACTTAATAAGGATTCTATTTGTCTTATTCACTGTCTTATTGCTGTGAAGAGACACCATGACCAAGACGACACTTAAAAAAGAAAGCATTTAATTGGAGGCTTGTTTACAGTTTCAGAGTTTTAGTCCATTGTTATCATGGCAGGGAGCATGGCAAACATGGCGCTGGAGAGGTAGTTGAGAGTTACAACCTGGTCTACAGGCAGAGAGAGGGTAGAGAGAAAAGGGGAGAGGGAAGAAGAGGGGAGATGGGGGAGGGGAGAGGAGAGGAGAGGAGAGGAGAAAGAGACAGAGACTAGGGCTTTTGAAACCCTAAAGCCCACCTCCAGTTACACACCTCCTCCAACAAGGCCATACCTCCTAATCCTTCTAAGTTACTAAGCATTCAAGTAAATGAGACTATAGGGGCCATTCTTACTCAAACTACCACACTGTTATTCCTTGTATATGCCTATTTCCCTGCTGCCCCCATCAAACACAATTTCCAGTTATTCACTCTAAAGTTCAGCTTAGCATACAGTAGTACTATATTCTCACCCCCAACCTTAGCTCTCTTACATAAAATGTTTCGTGACTTTTAGTACTCAGATAAGAGTCTGCAGTCCTGGTATTTTGGTGAAGTCATAGGGTAGCCTAGACTCTGCACTCTCCACTTACCCTGCACTTACTGAGTAGATGTGCTTCAAGACCCAGAGCTTAGTAGGGTGCAGCAGGGAACAGAACTGGTGCTGCACTGCATATGTACATTGGGCAGGGAGCAACTGAGCTGGGGAAAATCAGGCTGGTGTGTCAAAGAGGGCTCCTGAAGTCCTGAGTGCAGGGCATGCTTTGAGGAAGGGCCTTCCTGAGTGCAAAGTAAAGAAGCTTGAGTGAAGTAGACAGCAGTGTGTTAAGGACTGGCTAGAGAAATCCAGTAAGTGGGCCATAGCAGCTGGTGTTTAATCTGGAGGTGTACAGTCCTGGTCCCATGATGGTCATATGCCTCAGGGCAGGTTGACAACAACAGAAATGAGAACCTGAGAGGCAGGTGCAGGACCTTGTATGGGGGACACACCCTTTCTGGAAGGCTCCTGACAGAAGTATTTGATGGTGATATGAAGGTGAGGGAAAAGGAGGAAGTCAAAGGGAACAGTTTGATGGAAGAGGCTTAAGGTGAGAAGTTGGCTCCTGTGGTTGCAGAGAGGGGACAGTGACAGTTGAGGTAGGGATCTTCCACTCACCAGCAGCTACCCTGTTCCTTCTCTTCCTTATAGCAGAATGCTGACTGTGTGCTAGCAGTGACATCTGTCTAAGTGAGCCCCTCATAATTCAAGCCAGTTACAGTCTCTTAGTTTTTCGTCACCGGAGCAGAGCCAGTTGACCTCCCTTTACCTGGACAGCACTATTCTGCTTCGAAAGTGAGGTATAGCAGATGATTGCAGTGGGTTCCATGGAACACCCTGTTATTCTAGATCAGAGAGATGTGTGAGATTGGAACCTTATACCTGGTTGTTCCACCTGTCAAAGAGATTGGCAGCTAGCTGGTCTTCCATTAGGAGGAAAAAAAGTTAGTACCCAAGAATAGTGGTTCAGAAAAATAGGTAGACTCCAAAGGTAGAGAGGCACACCTCAGCACAACCTGAAGTCACTGGCTACTGGCATTCCCATAGAGTGAGCCATAGAGTTTGGGACTGCTACCTGAGGCCCATATGTTCTACCTTCTGAATGGCAGGAGTTAGGGCAGGCACAGCGAGGACAATGACCTTCTAATAGGAGTCCCACAGATCACACATCCAGCATCTGAGCTCCTTCTCCTGTGACTCACACTATTTTTTCATTCCTTACACTTGTTTTTAGTGGGACGAGTCATTCATTCTTTCATAATTAGGAAGCTTTAACATTCTAGTTGTCTACTCTTCTTTTCAAAATGATTAACTACTAGAGAAAAATTTAACTTCTTTCTCATGAAAATAGCTTTGAAATAACTTCAGACTTTAAAAATCATGTCTGCATTCCTGCAGATCTGATAATACTATTTTTTGTTATCTTACCACTGTGAAGTCAGGGTAGAAAAGACATCATCATTTTCAGATTCCTGGAATAACTTCAAAAGCTCTGGATCTCCAGATAAATGTGCAAGAATGCGCAATTCAATCTGTGAAAAGTCTGTGAGACAAAGTTCTCCATCAATTTTGAATTCACCTATGGTGCCCCCATCATTGATTCACCCCAAGCCACTCTCAGACTGCCTTCCCATGGGGCTCAAGGTCAACACATCTCTTCCCATCTACCAGACTTCCTTAGCCTTTGGACTATTGCTTCTTTGTCTGCCAGCAACTCTACAGACCTGTTCTCTGTCTTGCAAGGCCAGTAAAGCCTCCAGGATGGGCGTGTTCATTCACCACATTCACCACAATTTTATGAAGGATCCCACTGAGATGTGTTAGTAAACAATATAGACACAGAACCCTTCCTCCGTGGAGCTTACATTCTAGGAAACATTCTGAGTAAATCATTTGGTATGTCACAGATGAGAAATGGAAAAACTGGATCAAGGTATGGTTTGGTAGAGAGTAGTGCATATGAGAGAAGCTGGTGTCATGGTAGGGTGGTCAGCTCCCCTGCTTCTTTCTAGTCCTCAAGAAAATTACAATGAACAAAGACAGAAGAGGGAAAAAGGAAGAGCTGTGGGGGCTTGAGGTAGAGGGACACAGTGGTTAGCAGGGCTGCTTGAGTCAGAAAGGAGGGGGAAGGGGGGAGGACAAAAGAGGAGGAAGCAGACTGAATGAATTATGCCAGCAAAATGAGGGGACCCTGAAAGCCAAAGATCTGTTATTATTTAATGTGTATAAGAAATCTTTGCTTCATGTAAGTGTTTGCTTTAGGGTTTATTTGCAAGAATGAGTTCTATATAATGTATGTATCTTTGCATTACTTAGTTAGTAAATATATGAACTACATGAAAATGCACAAAGTAAGGTATAGTGACAGTGACATCCCCCCATCATCCTATGCATATACCTGCTGCCAGGAAGGTGTGGCCTTCAGAGGAAACAAACAGAGTTCTTGGGGAGATTGTGACCGTCTCCTCTTCTTTACCTGAATTGCCATTTAAAAAGCATGTGGTGAGTTTTACTGTCAGATGACTTGCAGCAGTTTTTCATACAGAGTTATTTTAATATCATACACAAATAAAAGTCTAGATTTTAATTTTGTCACTTTCTATTAATACAATTAAAAATAAATACACTAAATACTGTAAGATAACAAAATTTTCTATTATTAAAATTTTCTGTTCTGTCTAGAATTATGATAAAGGAAAAAGTCAGACATTGATACCCAAAACCACTTTAGGAAAGCGCTGGAGACAGAGCCTGATTGGAAGACCTATGTATAGGCCATGTAGCCATGTGGTTCCCATTGAGCCCAGACACAGGTGCTGTGGTTCTTTTGTCCTTGCTCAAGGTGACTGTGTGTATTTAGAAAGGAGCACTTTGGCTTTAGTGGTATTATTGTGCCTCCTTGGTCAATGCCCACAACAAAGCAGCAGCACTGCCATGGTCACAGGTTATCGGGGAGTGGACATCCTAGCACCCTTTACCAAATTAGAAATTTTCCTTTTTAAGAAATACGACCATCAGCACTACAGTGCGATAGCTTAAAAGAAAGATTTTTTATATGCTTTTATAAACATCTCCAGAAAACTTTAGATTTTATTAAAAGTCAGTGCTTTTGTGTGTGCTTTTGTTTGTTCTTTATTGGGAAGTTGGTGGGGGGGAAGGATGGTGGGAAGGGAGATATTTCTCTGGTATAATTACCATCTATTTTAATGCATAAAACTGCTAAAAGGGAGGTACTATATCACTTCAGCTGCTTTTATTTTTTTCATTGTAGGTTTAAATACTAGTCATGCAAACACAGAGAAGCACTTCAGGAAAGTATAGTAGTTACATTGTAAGAAAGTAATTATAAACACTACTGGGTTTTAAGAAATGCTCCCAAGATTTTAGCAAGACAGAAAGTAATGTGTTACCTTTAAAATTCCGAGGTTTAGAAATCTGAATTGGGTGCTTGGAAATACCTTGGATATTCTGTTAATAAGATAATAGCTTTAGTTGAAATAAGTACTCTTAACTTAATCTGTACCATTCAAGAGTATTCATTAAAAACATAATTCCAATATGCCATGCCTAAAGCATATTAACATACAACACAACTGCCTAATGTGAAAGTTTCAATGGAGACACCACTAATCACAATCAGCAAGTGTGAAAACAGCCTTGATTCTGGCCTATGTGAGCCTGTGATACATACAGTGATTTGACAGTAGCCTAGATTATGAACTTTCTTGGAAATCTGTACATTATACTTTAATTGAAAAGCACTCTTGAAGCTGGAATGCAGCACTTAATTATCATGTACAAAGCTCAAGGTTTCATCTCTTGTACTGTCTAAAGGCACAAGAAAACAAAATCTCCACTATACTTTAAAATGAAAGTTCTGGACTCAGCTTTGTTGCAGCCCCTCCCCTGCTCCTGGTATTTGGTACCTGCCTCAGTCTTATCTTATGTAATAGTGGTGTTATCACTTACAAACCCTCAAGGGATTTTCTTGAGTGCCTTTGCTTTCCACTATTACCAGGGTAATGATAGTAGATGATGATAATAATAGATAGCAGACATATTCCATCCTGTTTCTCCTGTTCAGATCATGAAAATTTATGTCCTTGTACCTTCCTATGCTTGGTAGTACAGTGAACAACAGGCTACTTTGTCTGGTAACGGAATTTTCTGGATACTAGTTGGTTGTGACCAACTGACTAGCTATGATGAATTATACTGTGCTAGATGCTGATCATTAAAACCCATCTTTTAGGTCTCACAGAAACACAAGAGGTATGGGGCAAGTATTTCATCTTCCTTGCACATATGAATTCACAACATTCATGATTACCTGCACAAGACCTGCATGAGATCAAGCCAGTTAAAATTCCAGCCTGAGCTGGGGGTGGTGGCACATGCCTTTAATCCCAGCACTAAGGAGACAGAGGCAGGTGGATTTCTGTGAGTTTCAGACCAGCTTGGTCTATGGAGCTAGTTCTAGGACAGCCAAAGTTACCAAAGAAACAGTCTCGAAAAACAAGCCAAAAAATTGCAGCTATGAGGTTACTTCCCTAAGAGGTTACTGAGACCTGCACAAGATCAAACCAGCTAAAATTTCTAACATTGATAGGGGAGACACCACTGAAACGCCTCAGTTCTAGCTGAGGAGCTAATTGAAGTTGATGGCTGATGCAGAGAAGAGAGTGGCCATTGGTAGGTTATTCATGCCACAGTGGATGACCACATATCCATGAACCTTTGGGCAGTACTAATTGGACTCAGTGGATTAAAAATAAAATTAAGAAGAGGCATAAAATTGGAAAGGAGATGTTGGAAGGTCCTAGGAGAATTTGGATTGGTAAAGTGGGATGCGGATACAATTAACATATTTTATATACATGCATGATTTTTTCAAAGAATAAACAAAAACATTACTTAATTAAGATAACATTTGATTCAAAGTAATGCAAAGAAAACCTTACATTGGAATTTTGTTTGCAAATCACATAGACACAAAATATAAATTACTAAAGTAAACCCATAAAACAAACAAAAAAACATCCTAGCATAAAAGGCGCTTCCAGAATAGAAAAGTCAGGAGCTTATCATATGAAATCAGTGACACCCTGGTTACTAAAACCAGGCAGCAGAATAAAGAAAATGCCAACCAACATTCTTAAACATAGGAGCAATAATTCTTAACAAATTCTTAACAAAGCCGGTGGTGGCACACACCTTTAATCCCAGCACTCGGGAGGCAGAGGCAGGTGGATCTCAGTGAGTTCAAGGACAGACTAGTCTAGAACAAGTTCCAGGACACCCAGGGTCACACAGAGAAACCCCATCTTGAAAAAAGTCCAAAACAATTAACACATAGTATTTATGGAGTAAAGGGCTTTAAGACAGTAAGATCATATTAGAGCAAAAAAGGACAATGACAAAATCCAACATTCATTCAGACTAACAATGTACCAAACATAGTCTGAAATTCTCAACTAACTAGGAAAGGGGGATTGTTTTTCTCAACACAGTAAGTAGCATGTACAAAGCTTACTCATTCAGAGTAATTTCAGTGTCTAAAGCTTTATAAAATAGGCCTGTGTTCCCCATCTATCAGAGTAAGACCAGCATCAAGCCAACTGCAGTTAACATACACAGCTGACAGTTCCTGGAAGGTTCTGCATAGTCAAGAACAACCAGCAAATAGGTGCTCAGGCTCTAACGTTATGTTCCATAGAACACAGCATGTTAGTTTTAAAGACAGCTGTCTTACCAAAATAAAGGGAATGCATGGGTTTTCTATTAGTCAAAAGAAAGTAGGAAATTTAAGTTTATTGTGGTTAAATGAATTACAGAGGAAGATTTTGTTTTTACAGTATATCAAATAATAGCATGATAGAAAATTCACCAAATATTTAATTTCTGGGGGGGAGGGGAGGTTCGAGACAGGGTTTCTCTGTGGCTTTGGAGGCTGTCCTGGAACTAGCTCTTGTAGACCAAGCTGATCTCAAACTCACGGAGATCCTCCTCCTCAGCCTCTCAGTGCTGGGATTAAAGGCGTGTACCACCACTGCCCAGTCCAAATATTTAGTTTACATAGTCCGTTTTAACCATCCCAAGAAAAGTTAAAATATACACCTTGTCCTTTGGTCACATAGAAGATTGTCAACCTGAGAAGGAACTTCTTTTCTTTCCTGGAAGACAAGATTTTAGCTTTTCCTTTTCCATTACTGCTGAGTTGAACAGTGCCTTGGTTTTTGATATCTTGCAATGGCTATTCTGTCCAATATGACTTGTTGAGGCATGAATGGGAGTTAGGGATCCACTTTAGCAGAGGACTTTGCCAGTAATCAGTGCCTTTACAGCTGACAGGGCAAGACAAGAGCAGTCACATAGTGTCAGCTATGAGCATAAGCCAGAGAAATGTTGTACCCACCAATTAATGCTAGAGGAATATAAAATCACTGAACAAGGACAATCATTTCAACCAGAATTGCTTCTATGAAGTGTCCCCAGTATGTCCACAGAGCAGAGCTAGTAAAACTAAATAAATCAGCTCCTAAAATAAAGACGTGTTCTTTTTATAAAGACCAGAAACATCCATGGAATTGTCTATTGTGTGGAGTGGCTTTTAAAGAAAAATAACCTTTTTGTTTTAGAGCAAAGTTGTGAAGACAGAAAAGTTGTCACATGTCCAGTTTCATCCAGTGAGCATCTTAAAATCTGCCACAACTAAACTGACAAGGGATATTACCATCCTCTAAGCTCTGTGCTTTGTTCTCACTGATTTTTTAAAAAAATATAATCTCTTTCATGCATGATACTTAGTCATTGTGTCTCCTTAGAGTCCTCCTGGCTATCAGTTTCTCATCATGTTTCACAATTTTGTGGAGGGCTGATAAGGTAGGAAACCCAAAGAAACAGCTGACCTGAGCAAGTGGGAGCTCATGGACCCCAGTCCGACTGCTGGGAAACCAGCACAGGACCGAACCAGGTCAGTTGAACTTGAGTGTCAGTTCGGAGGGCCTGTATTTAATCTGGTGATACCACTGTGTTCTGAAACTCAGCTGTGTTTTTCTTTTGGAGTCAGCCTTAGACTGCACTAGTCATAGCTCCCTTCCAGGGTGCAGACAGAGTGGAAGATGTAGGGGCCTTCATTTCTACACTAGAGGCATGCAGGACCCAGGAACATACTGATCTCATGTAGACTGTGCAGAAGAGCAACTATAGGACTCACTTGCAAAACACACACTAAGTGTTAATTTGGTGCTGCTGGAAAGATTGCTCCTCTAAACTTAGGGGTTGGGACAGAGTCCCAAACCCACAGATAGTATGTTCTATGCTCTCCTCTGTCTGTTTCCCTCACACTAGATTATTTAATTATTTTTTTACACACTGGATTTTAACACAAAGGGGCAGGGCTAGGACCTATTCAGAGTTCTCCTTCCCTCTGCCACCCAGCTCAACTCTAAATTCTGTTGTCCCCTCCCTCTCAGCACCTCTCCCAAGTCCAAAGGAGCTGCTATGACTCCTTCCCAAAAGTAGGTACTGCAGCTCCCAGTGTGTCCTTATTATGTTAAACTGACAAATGCCAGGCTGAGTCTGGGTGCTGCAGACTTAAAAATACAGAGTAAAACACTTTTATGTCTCTAGAGCCTGATGTTCTTTCTGCTGTGCTCTCTCTCAAGTTCTAACTGAGAGCCAGAACTGAGCAGGACTCATTTATTCTCAATGGTATCTCCTCTCTCTGTGGAGAGATAGAGGCCTCAGCCCCAAAGGCTGGCAGCCTCTCAATAGCAAGAGGGCAGGAATGAATACATATCAGATGGTATTTCAAAACCATCTTTGTGCTATCAAGTATTTTGTTCAGTTAAAGTTGCTTCTGTTTCCAGGAAAGTGGCGTAAACATATTTTCCCTGTTCCTCTCATTAGGCACAACTAAAACCCTGGGCACTATGCATACAAGAAAGAAAAAGAGCTCTGAAAGTTGGGTAGAAAGAAGAATGGTCAGGAACTACCAAGAATTAGACAGAACTGAGCTTCACAATTTTTCTGTGCCTAATGTGTCTCAGATTGGGTGTTGGAGAAGCCAATAGCCGCAGACAAAAACCAAACTAATAAACACACAATAAATTTCTAACCAAAGACTATTGCTACTTGCAGCCCTGCAAGACAGATAATTTTGAGACAAACAGCATTTTTTCCTGTCAGCACCAAGGAAAAGATTTGTGGCTGACTTTAGTTAGGATCCTCCACCTATCAAAGCTCCTCTTTGTAATTTTCTATGCACTGGCCCTTCATCCTGCCTGTAAGTACTAAGTCCCTACCCACCCCTACTGCATTTGGAGTTGAACTCTGCTTCCCTATCCTATTGCAATAATCTTGGATGAAATTTTCCTGGTTTGCCAGGTGTTGGTGGTGCACACCTTTAGTCCCAGCACTTGGGAGGCAGAGACAGGTGGATCTCTGTGAGTTCGAGGTCTTCCTGG